GGAAGGTGAAGGTGTGTGCACAGGAAGTGATGACATGTGCACGTGTTGCTCAGAAAGGGACACCAACAATGATGGTAATTATCACTGTAACTGAGATAATTGGACATGGCTGAAGCTAAGAGACAAAAAACTCAAGCTTATGAAGAGCTTTAAGAAGGAAAAATATTTTAATTCAATTAGCACTTATTGGAGACTAACTAGGCCAGGCAATGTGCTTAAAATTTATAACCACCTGTCACTGAACCCTCCCCATGCCCAGTCACTTATGGCTCCTCCCATTTCATAGGTGAGGAAACTGATGCTCAGAGTAGGCAAGCAATTTGCCCAGGATCACACAACTGCTTAGCCCAGAGCCGGGTCCGGGAAAAGAGCTCTACCCAGGTATCAAATTTGCATGGTTGCCAATGGCCAAGGCTTTCCTATTGCTTTTCACAAAAGTAATAACAAGCTCCTTGAAGGCAGTGGCAACCACAGGTGGTTCAGAGCACCCGTCTCCTGCCTCATCCCATTCTCCAAGCGCGTGGGGAGGAGCTGCTGTAATTGCATCCCTTGTTGCAGTTGTTGCTGATACAAACAACTGCCTTCTTTATTTTATCCATAAATTTGCTTCCTAATAACAATAAGGCATGCCAGGGCTTTGGCCTCATGCCTTATTACGCCACCTGAGGAGTGAGATAATCACCCAGAAATGTACTGCCTGTTGTGCATTTTATTACTTGAATACAAAGCGATTCAATTCAAGGAACACTTAGTCAAAGACAGCATGGAAAAAAATAATAATCATATGAAAAGTAATTCCTCCTAATGCTACTGAGTACACTGCGGGGAATAATCCTCTTCCAGTGGGAGAATGGTCTAGATGACCTGTCGGGTCTTCTCTGGCTCTAATTTCTTCCAACTGCAGGATTTTAAGAGCTAGTGAGACTTCAATTACAATATGAATATTCCAAAGAGCAAAATGGAGCCTATTTGTGTGTTCGACCTAAACATTCTGGGTATAAGCATCTGCCCAGCAACAATTCTCTCAGCGATTCATTCTTCAGCAAACACTGCAGGCCATTATTGGTAGGCTGGAGGAATAGAAAAAGGATGACCCACCTGACCCTCACCATCTAACTCGGGATTTAAGGAAAATGGAAACATGTTTTAAACGTCAGAAACAAGGTATCCACACAGCATATCCAAGTACACTGATGAAGCAAGAGAAATTCACCAACACCTTGTCTTCCCAGATTTGATGAGATGGGAACTAGATCAGCCCATCTCAGGGGTGGGATTAGACTTTTCCCAAGAGATGCTGCCATCAGTTCATCTCAAGGGGAAAAGAGCTATTCCATTTGTAGTTTCCTCAAGCAGAAATAATACGGTTTTTTATTGTTATTAAGACTTTTTTCTTTTAAATGCATTTGCTATTATTAAAAATTAGTTTTAAAAGGCTGCTGAAGCATACATAGACATGTATGTAGCTTTGAAACCTTGGACCTTTCTTAGAAATGCAAATTCTCAGGCCCCACCCAAACCAGAGTTTTCTGGGGGTGGAGGCCCAGCCATTTGTGTTTTAGCAAGTTAAGACCCCTGCTTTAGAAGAACCTGAAGTTGATTCATAAGTATGAGTCTATAGTTTTTTAAGGATGCTCCTCTGTAAAGTTCCCCTGCTTACCACCAAAATGAAGTTAAAAGACAGCAGATGTTACATTTAAATTATTCTACTAGATTCACCTAGCAGTAAGTAGGTTCATCCAACAATAACTAGGTTTACCCAGCAATTACTAGGTTCACCCAGTAATAACTAGATTCACCCAGCAGTAACTAGGTTCATCCAGTAGTAACTAGCTTCACCCAGCAATAAGTAGGTTCACCCAGCAATAACTAGATTCACCTAGCAATAACTGGGCACCTATTTTGCTGGCCATTGGTAAGTCATCAACCTCATGACAACCTTGTGAGTTATCCATATTTTTAGATGTGGAGATTCACAAGTTGATTTACAAATATATTCCAAATTAAACATCAGAGAGAAACCAAATTTACTTATGAGGGCAAAACCCAAACACTCCTGAATCTAATGCTGAGCTTTTTGCCCAACTGTGCCAGGGCTGTGTATGTGTATGTAAGCACACCTACCCCCACATGTGCACATTGAGTGACTTGTGTGCATTCTTATATAAACACATAGATAAGGACATGAAGTTTGCATATATTGATAGAGTAATAAAATCTGTCAAGCCTCAAGGATGCAAACCTTGTGTTTGCAAAGCAGCCTAACAGTTCTGCAACCTACTCAAAAGAACATGTAGAAAATTAAAACCAAGTTATCTATGTAAATATCTAATCAAATATTAGTATTCTGGGGATCATGCTGCCACCATTTGAAGGCAAGTCCCATCTTCCTCAACACAGCCTCATACTCCCTTTATATCTTAGACTTTGCTGGCAACCCCTAGTCAGGAATTATAAGAATGCAAGTTGATTTACAAAATATATTCCAAATGATAGGGTATTGTAAAAAACAATTTAGCCAGTCATCTGCATTCAATTTAGCAGAAAAATCCATGATTATAAACTGACTTGCCTGTCTGGCCTTCATGTCACATGGCTGAGCCACAGCATTCCTCTGCCAAGGGTCTTCCCCTTATATCAGGGTCTCCTCAAATCCCATGCAGGCTCTCATCTTCCTCCCAAACCTCATTTTAACAAATACCTTCTCTTACAGTATAAATCTACCCACACACACTACAAGACATACCCACACAAACTCAGAAATCAAGTTAAAAATACAACACGAAACTCTCAAATTTAATATATTTTAATGGAGTAGTCTATCACTATTATAAATGATAATTATAAACACGCCAAAACATAAAAACGTGTTTAGGACAATGTTAAGAGAAAAGTACAGGGGAATATACGCTATGAATACAATGATATAAAAATAACTGTTGCATGTGGACAGGGGTTAGAAGATGTGACCAAAACAGCTACGTTGGGATGGTAAAGACATCTATTTTTTATTTTGAATGCTCTTTAATAAATGTATCACAGCATGGCAGCTATAATGTGCCTGCCAGGGCCTCCCAGGTGTCACAGGATCTGGCTCCTACCTGAGACTCTTCCCACCTCGCATCCCATGTGGAGAGAAAATGAAGGTTCCTACCGCCAGGATTCTCGCCTGGCCCCAGTGAGCTTGCTCACTGCGCACATGTGGGCGATATGTTACTACTGACACTATATAAAGAACTCCACCCAGTGCTCTGGGCTGCAGGAGAGCGAGGCTGGAGTGGTGGCAGCGCCAAGGACAGAGACTGACATGGCTGTGGGGGCAGAGAGGCCAAGGCCTGCTTGCTGCGTGCAGACTTGCTGAGGCACACGGGATTCTAGCACTTGACCTGTCACCACGGGAATAAATGGGAATAAAGTTGGGTATAAACCCTTTCATCCCAAGAACATTCCACTGTCATTTTTCAGTCTCACCAAATCAAGAGTGAACATGTCTGGGGCTGAAACCCACTGGTAAAACACCAAGGTCCATGGGCCCCTCACCCACGCCTCGCACCCCCCCATCTCCTCGTCCCCCCTCCAGCTCCCATGTGCCTGTCCCCGAGAGAGGCCTCCCTCCCCGCCCTGCCCACCCTGCCTTGTGGAGTCTCTCACTGAAGCCTGTCCTCTGCACCGCACTCACCACATGGGTAATTACACTTGTATTTGGGAAATCGTTAACTTGGTGACAGGCTCCATGAAATAAAATGGGGTTTTTATACCACTGTACCTGCAGCCCCAGAGCACCCAGCACTTAACTGGAGCTCCACAAGTATTGATCAAATTAGTGAATGAAGGATTTTCACAGCCCTGCCATTCAAGGAGCAGTCTTCTCCCAGCACACACACACACACACACACCCGTCCATCCACTCCTGGATCTTGTCTAGGATCGGCACTCTCTTCCCCTCCATCCAACGTAGAGGTTCCGGCGTCATCCAGTGCCTCCCTCTTTCATCAGTTGACACTCGTGACCCATGTGACTGCTGAGTGTCTGCTCCCTGTTAGACCATGAATGTCATGACAGCAGGGACCACAATCTCATCGTGGTGGCCCAAAAAATAATGAATCTTGAGTTCAATTGGATCGAATATTGTATTTTTGTGATCACTTATGTCAGCACAAATGCCTTGCTGTCCCACCCAGCATACCTGAAAAGGCTTAGATCGTTCTATTTGTAATGTGCTTTCTCCATCATGATACAAAAATCTCATTTCAGAAAGTGTCTCAGAAATCTGCTTTTACCTAATGAACATTCTCCGACTCGCTACCACAGCCAAGGTGATGACAGATACGGCAACAGGCAACAGAAAAACAAGTTGTGTCGGGGACACTGACCGCACATGGCCTGTCAAACAGCTGTTCCATCTCAAAGACTGATTCACTGGCAGCCTTTTAAAATGTAAGAGCTGGAAACCATTACGTTCTCTCCCCCAGCTCCGGCGAGCAGACAAGGAGTGTTTAACACATCCTATTTATAGTGCAGCCAGGCCCAAGCAGGTCCTGGGGGGGCTGGCGGAGGCAAGTCGCGGGGGCGTCCCTGCCTCCGGCTCCAGGGAGGGAAGCTTGGCGGCGGCTGCCCCCTATAGGAGGAAACGGGAATCTGGCCGCAAGAAACCCGCGCCGTGGAGCGGCCCGGGCCGCCGGCAGCTGAAGCAGGTTTCATCGTTTTCTGAATTCGGTTGTCTAAGATCTGTCGGCATGTTAAGCACCACATTAAGGACATTCAACTTTCAAATGTATTCGCTCACAATTATTGGTAAGATGAATTTGTAAGTTCCCAGGCAATTTTGGTACAAAAATCAGCATGGAGTCGTTTGCAGCGTGAACCACTGCCACCAGCCAGAAGGCAGCGACGCGGCGTCAGCAGCCCTGCTCCCGAGGCCTCGCCCAGCGCCGCCCAGCGCCGCGAGCTCCCTGCGCCCGCGCCGCCCGCGCCGCGCGGGGAAGGACGCGCGTCCTCACCTGGCTTCGGCTTTGCCCGAGGCGCTGCTGCTCGCTGCCGCCGCGCTCGCCTTAGTGCTGTTTCATTTCCTTCAAGTGAACTATTTCTGAATTTGTGAATTCTGAAAAATAAGAGAGCAATGGGGTTAGCACAGATTGGCAGACAGATTTGCTTATTTAGCTAATCAAGCCTCAAGAACAGAGCCTGTGGGTCTGCAAAATAATCAACTGATTTTGCAAGCTACTGGAGAATTGTGTCAAAATCCTCAGGCAGGTCTGCTACATGACTTTCACACCAAATTTTAGGTTTCCCAGGTGGAGATATATATTATGTCAGCACTACATGAGCACCACTTCTCTTCCCCTGTCTCAATCACACTCACACGCCACCCACAAACCCCCCAACAACACACACACACACAAATACCCCCACTGTGGCCCCCTGTTTTCTTCACATCAGCCAGAATAATCATTTTTAAATGGCCTTTGGTGGTCCCTCGACTGTGGCCTTCCCACACGGAAGCCTACTGCTCATATGCTGTAGCCCTGTGCTCGGGCCACCCACCCATCTCCCTACTCTGCCTAATGCACTCCTCCTTGTCCCAGAGACCAGGAGTTCCCAGACTTGGGTGTCCATCAGAATCATCCAGAGGGCTAGACAGCAACAGACTGTGGGCCCAGCCCCAGATCCGAACTCGGGATCAAGTCTGGCTGAGGCAGAGCCTGAGAAAGTGCCCTGCTGACAGGTTCCCCGGGGACACTGCTGCCTGGATGCCACGCTTTGAGAACCAGTGCCGCAGATCTCAGTTCAAATGCCACTTCCTCCGGGAGCCCTCCTTGACACCCCCACCCTAGGCTGGGTCCCCATTACACACTTCCACAACGACCTCTGCGGCCCTTTGCCCCACCTGTAATGACATCTATTTGTATGAGTTTTCAATTAAATGCTCATCTCCCAGCAGACTTTTAAGTTCCAAGAAAAGCCAGGGCCAAATTAATTTATACATCGCTACACTCCCAGATCCTAGGCCAGGACTAGTGTTCAGAGGTGTTCAAACTCACTGGCTAAGTGAGTGAATCTGCTTCTGCTCCCAAACCTTGGTCAGTCAAAGGAGAAACCCCTGCCTTTGGCCTCTTGCCTCTAGCCCTCTTTGTAAGCAGTCGGCAACTACTGTCCATTTTGCCTGAAAAACACATCGTGAATCTATTCTCTGTCCCTCTTCACCCCGAACACCACTGCCCCTGTTTATCCTCATTCATCTGGATTACAGGCATAGCCCTGGGAATTTCTTCCAGGCCTCCAACTTCTTCCTCTGTTGCCAGGATTTCTTTCTAAAGCACAGATAAGGTTACGCTACTCCCTGGTTTAAAATGTGCAATGTAAGACTGTATGTGTTAAAGTTTCATAGCACTATGTCCCAGGGAAAAAAAAAATGAGTGTGTGTGAAACTGGAAAAATCTGAATAAAATCTGTAGTTTAGTGACTAATACTGTCCCAATGTCCCAGGTGATATCCTGGTTTTGATCGCCGTCCCATAGTTATTCTGTGAGAAGTTATCGCTAAAGGGGAGCTGGGGGCACATAGGAACTCTGTGCTGACTCTGCAACTTTTTGTGAATCTAAAAAAAGTTATTCAGTTAAAAAAAAAACATGCAATACTTCTCCAGGGCTTACAGGCTGAAATCAAACTCCTAAATGTGGGATACAAGGTCATTCACATCATTAATAACCAGGCCCCAAGCCACTCTTCCAGATACGGCTGCTCCATGAATGCTCAATTTTTACACAGTCCTCCAAGCACACCAGGTAGTGCTCACTTCTGACTTCTGGCTCGAGCTTTTGCTACAATTTTCTTCCTCCTTTTCTACCTGGCACACTTCAAGTCAGCTTTCAAGACTGAGGGTACATCCCCTCCTTCATGAGACCTTCCTATCCTCCCCAAACAAAAGTAATCATGCCTTTACAGAGAATTTGGTCTCATAGTCTTGATGTGCCAGTTGTTTTGTTTAATAAACAAAAGGAAAAAAGGGTAAAAGGGTAAAAGGTAAAGCCATTACTTTGCTGGGAGTCTGGCAGGGAGGGAAGGGAGACACACAGTATCCGGTATTGATACCTCCCAGTCCTTCCCCTATTTTCACTTTGATTATCTACCTCCAGATGTTTCTGTTGGCTGCTCATCTGTGGCCCCTGCTAGTCAGTGAACCCCTCCATCCAGTGGAGAGATGGGCTCACTCATCTCTTTATACTCAGCACCCACCTCACAGGCTGGCACGCACTCCGTTCATCTTTGCTCTCGATAGACCACAGCTATCAACACCTCATACAGTGGGGCAAGAGGCTTGAGCTAATTTTACCCTTGGTTTTGGAAGCTAAACAATGTTCTGTTTGTGAGCAAGAACCTGTGGCCAGTCCTATAGGTCATCCCAGGCTTTACATCATCCTCAGTTTAGGTTTTCTAAATAAAGAGAACTCTGAGACACTCATGAATGTGATGACCTCAGAACTTGGTGAGGTAGAAATTAGGAAGGATTATAAAAACAAAGCCCTTCAAACAAGCACCAAGTCACAGACCATCAGATACACTTCCTAACCACATGCAAAACACAACTAGTAAGCTATTATTACTGATATTTTTGTTTATTTTCCAACTAAGTATTGATGTCCAGTTTTTAACAGATGCTATTTATATCAGAATCGTAACAAAAGTGCCATCCATCTGCCTTGGCATTCCAGAGAAAGCATAATTCAACACAAGAGTGAAAAACGTGTGCAGCCAAACAGAAATGGCATCAGAAGCAGAAACTGTTGGAGCTCGTATCATGATGGCAGGGGGCGGGGGGAGCAGAAGGGGATTATCACTTCACTAAATTGGAAAAAGTTGTAAGCAACACAAAGGATTTTGGCAGTTAAATCCCAATATTTGAGAAAAATCTTCTCTTTATTCTGATATCAAATGGATGTTTTATTATATTTTGGGACACACACCCTCTAAAGTTCCCTTTTCAGCCTTTCATATGCCCACTTAGTCATTTACTGAGGATCTACACTTTGGGGCAATGGAGAAAAGAAGGGTGTGAAGTCAAGAAGACTGGGTCAAATTGGTTCCACTATGTACCATGCAAACCTCCAAGTTAATTAACCTTCTCCTGACCCAGTTTCTTCATTTGCAAAATGGAAATAACATCTCCCTTTAAAGCAACTACTCTGGACCTGAAATCTAGGGACTGTCTAGACCATCTAGGAGGTCCCCAAGTGTGCTTTTGTAGATCTTCAAACTCTCTAAGATTAAATACAAAAGTGAAATGGTTTCTCTAGAGAGTATACATTGCTGTCCCCAGCTTCTCAGGGGGCAAATGACCCCAAAACAGTTAAGTGCCACAGCTCAAAAGGCTGCCGAAAGATCACAGACAATGAGTGCGTGACACACAGTAGGCTGTGTTCATTATTTGGCAGCCATTACTGTATATAAGTCCTGAGAATGTACAGAAGGATAAATCAGAGCACAGGGAAGAAGTAGGTAGACAGATACAATGTGAGGAGCTGAGCGTCATCTCAGGGTTTTACAGAACAACAAAGAAGGACAAACCAAAGCCTGTCTAGAAAAAACAAGCAGGAGAATGTGACAGGGCAGAGCACTAGAGTGTAGGACAGTGACATGACCAGCATAGTGGTGTCTGTGATGCCTAGACAGGCCTTGGCATATGGCAGGTGCTCAGTAATTGTTAAGTAAATGAGCAAACAAATGACAGGAACCAACTGGAACAGGAACCATTTAGAAGGTCCCAGGGGAAAAATAAAATTCAGATGGTGTTACTGAAAACTCTTATTCAGAAATCCTTCATTTCAAATATTCCATACAAAAGCAGTAATTTGCACTCTCTCCCGAAATAGTGAGGACACCGAGCCTACACCTCAGTCAGTAGCCATCGAGCTCTGCCTAGACTTTGTGATGAAGACCTAAGTATTAGAAAAGCTTTAGTTTTCTAGTGGAATTAAAAGGACTTATTTGCCTGAACAAAATGAATTCAATTATTTTTCATTTCTTTTATTTTTCCTTTTTTTTTTTTTTGAGTTGACAAGAAGCTCACAACTAAATTTTCAGCCTGACTGTATTAATCATTATGGACAATATGAGTATTCTCTTTCCTCCTGATGCCATTTTCCTATTCTAATTGTATTTTTCATGATCCTGATTCACATGTTTCTACCCTATCATATTATATGTATATTCTTACAAGTCATCTCAAAGCCTTAGGGGACTTGCAGAGTAATCAGGTACATTTGTGAGTGCTAGAAAGTACTTGTCAAGAACCCAGGTTCTACTACCAAGGAGTCCTGGAGCAGAAGCCCCACTCTACCACTTACCTGCCTTGTAGTCCCTTAACTTCTCTGCATCCCTGTTGCCTCATCTTTAAAATGGGAATAGTGACTGTTCTTTTTCATAAGCAAGCAGTAAGGACTAAATTTTAAAATGTATGTGAGGCTCCAGGCTGTGCCTGGAAACACAGTAGGTGCTCCGTAAGTACAGCGTGCAGCAGCAGTAGTGTTTGTAGTAGAAGCCCTAGTAAAATTGGAGACAAATAGATGGAGAGGGAAAGAACACTGGCGCCCGAAACAAAATTGCGAGGAAAGGCCCAAACCAAGAGAGAAAGTGGGAAGCAAGGCCCTCTAGTTCTGGAAGTGTTACCTGTCCTCACAGGGCTTTTCAAACATCTCTCCTCCCTTTACATCTCTTCTTCCAAATAGTGTGGATATCCTGGGTAGCAATGTATTGAAAGTGAATACATATTTTAAAATCACAAGAACCCAAGTGATAAAATTGTGCAAGCCTAGATTTGCGGTATTTATAGATAAATACATTTTACAAAAAAGATCAGCTTGCTGTGGTATTTAAAGGAGAAAACCAATTGTTAGCTTCTAATCTCACTCAGTTTCTTATCTCTACCATATAGATTATTTCACAATCCTGGCAGTGGAAGGAGTCATCCAAAAAAACCTTCAGTGACTCTCAACATCTACTAACCTTAAACATTCATTCTCGATACACACCTGTAAAGAAGCTCTATTAAAGCAACTGTCTTTTTAAAAGCGAGTGGCCTCCTGGTAGATTCCTGCTCTGGGCAGGCATCAGGCTACTGAACTTCCTCCAGGAGCTGGTTCTGTCTCCATGTGCCAGTCGGTTGTAGGAGTCACATTATGGGCGCTGTAGAGATCTCTGTGCATGGGGAAGAGGTGGATGGCTGCAAAAGGGGAGGGGAAAAGCAGACAAAGTTGGAGAGCAAATTTAAAGTCTCGGGTAAGAATTTCTTGACAAATATCTACAATAAAATCCTGCCCCCAAGGAGCTTGCAGTAAGGTTGAGTGGGAGGCAAATGTGTTCACAGATAATCAAAGGGGTCATGCCTGATTCACCTTCCAACCCTCAGAACTTTGCCAAGGGTTTGCTGAATTGAAAACAGAAGATAAAAAGATGAAGGAACTGCAGGATGTGAAAGTGGAACTTATTTAAAGCATTTCTGTAAGTGTACCCATTTAGGGACACATACGACTTAAGAAACGTTATTAAATTACTCTTCTTGAAAGTAAAGTAAGAGTTCTCTTTACAGGGGCGAGGCATCCTAAAAGGCACAGCTTTTCAGGAGAGAAGAAAAGGGGACTGCAGTGCTGATTTAACCAAGGATAACCGTGTGGAGTCTGAGAAGAATGTTCTAGAAGGACCAGAGATTTTTTGACATGAGACAGAAATGCTGAGTTTGAATTAAGGCTCTGCAACTTCCTAGCTGTGTGATAGGCATTACCGCACATTTCCCATGTGACCCTCACAGATCCAGGGAGGCAGATGTCACCACCACCTTCCACGTTGTTTATGGCGTCTTCCCCCAACGCCACGGAAGCTCCGTGGGAACAGGACCTTTCTATTCGCCTCAGAGCCTGAGTAGCTCTGAGTGACCCAGAGCCCACCACCGCGCCTGACGCAGCCGGGCGCCCCCAAGCACGTGCTGAATGAGCGAACCTATGCCACGGATGAAGGGAGGCTCCGTGTCCCAGGGTGGGCAGCAGCCGTCTTGGAGCTAAGGGGCCCTCAAAGCTACCCGCCCCGGCCCTCCTCCGCCCTGCGGTTTGCGCGCGGCCGCCGAGAACGCGCGCGGGCTCTGGGCGCCGGGGCCGCGCCACCTTACCCCGGCCCCCTTCGCGACTCGCACCGCACACGGACACACCTACGCTCGCGGACCCCCGGCCGCTCGGTCGCAGAGGCCCAGCCCACTCGGCGTCTTAAGGACGCTGTTGCCCGAGCGACGACGACACTCGCTGACTGGAGAGAGAGACTACGCACCCGGCAAGAAGCGGAGTTTCGATTGGCCAAACCGAGTACACAAATGCACGAGCCGAGGGGCGTGGGCGAGCTCGCCTGTGGCTCCGCCTCCGCGGAAAGAACTTCCGCCGGAAGGCTGGTTTCCAGAGCGCGGGAAGCCACCGGGAGCCAGGGAGACGGGCGTCTTGGAATCCTGTTACGTGGCCTTCGCGCGGGCCGGGTGTCGGACTGGCCCCGCCAAACCGCTGTGAACCGCGTGGTGTGCGGGAAGCCAGCCCCCTCCAGGGAAGCAGACTCCTCACGCGTACAAAACACGCGTGCCCACTGGGGCGGCGTCGGCGTGAAGGGACGACCGCATTAAAGCCCCCACCGCATGCTGCGGCCTTCCCAAGCGTTAGCGCCTTTGGCGCGTGTGATTGCCGCGTTCTTGGGCGGGTCGAGGCCGAGCGCCCGAGAAGGCGGGGCCGGCCAGCCTTGCCCGCCCTGGACCCGCGCCACATCGGGCGTCGCCAGGAAAGCTGCTTGCTACCCACCCTCAGGCCGAACGGAGGCTCAGTGAGTCCTGCGGACGGTACCGCTGCCATCGGCCGTTGTCGCCGGCCCTGAGGGGCCACTTCCCTTTGCCAGGCACCCGTCACAGCACTTTGCTTGTCATGTGACCTTCCCCTGTCTTTGCGACTGGCCCGTGAGGCAGATGCTGTGATTGCCCCCACTTGATAGGTAAGGAACTGAGGCAGAGAGAGGGTGTTTTGTGCAAGGAAGCGCGACGAGGCAATGGCAGAACCAGAACCGGAGCCCAGGCAGGCAGGGCCCCTAGTCCGAGCTGAGGAACCCCCTCCTCCGTCTCTGTCAACAGAAGGGGCAGGGCCCTGCTGAGGGACGGATGGCCTCCGGGCCCTGCGGGGCAGTCTGACCACATGTCGCGGGCACCTGGTTTCCCGACTCGCGAGTGCTGTCGCCTCTGCTCCCTCCTCGCACCTGCCACGCCATTACCTCTTCACCCCTCAGATCACACTGAGAAGACGGATCCCTAGGAAGGCAGCACCCGCGTTGTCCCGCAACCACTTTGGCGGCCTTCTCTTCTTTTGCTCTTGTTCCAAGAAATGAAGGGTGGCTTTTCACAGAGGCCCACCCCTCCTCTTGTGTCCTGAATCCCATCCCAACGCTTGGGTTTTATTGATCACACCAGCAGTTCTCAAAAGCGTGGTCTGGGAACCCATGGGGGTTCTCAATACCATTTCCATGGCCATGTTACCTAACAAGGCCCAACTTGGGTCCACCCACCCAGCAAAGCAAGCCAAACACTGACACTACTGCACAAATTCCTGAGCTCCCTGCTGGGTTACAAGCAGGGGTTTTTAAGGGCAAACTTGGGGGGCTCAGGGTGCCTGATCAGTTTGCGTACATTCTTCTGATTGAGCAGCGGTGAGGACTCAGTCAATGGTCCAGAGCCTCTGCTTGTAGCCAGCTGTAGTCCACCTGTTGTTTCTGCAAAAAAATCTCAAGAATACACATGTTAAGAGTTTATCTGCACCTTTTGAGGGGGAACAAAGGGTCCTGTGTTAATTTATATTTACTGAGTTCGCTTTACCTTGTTCAGGCAACCTGCCCCTTTCCCAAGTGAATCCCAAGCTGCTAGGGTTTCATCAGCACCCCACTGAGGCACTCCAGCTCCTCCTGGATTTGTTAATGAGAAGTGAGAGGCTTCTCCAAAGCCAGCACCACCTACCTGTTCAGTTTCAGTAACATTAGAATGTTCCTTGCCTTTCACTCTTGTTCTCTCAGGAATGTACAGTAAGGTTTTCCAGAAGCCACGTGATGTGTGACACTACAACAGAATGAATACAGAGGAGATGGATAAGTCCAGCTGTCTCCTGTTTAGTCAGACATTAAAGATATGCAAAAATACATAACCACCTCTTTCCACTAACTGTTTCTGTTTTGAAAAGCATAATTTTTCATTAAAAATGTTTATGCATAATGGGTTTATTACTGTGTTTCAATTAGTGAACAAATATTTAAATTTTTTATTAGTTTTGCTTTCTAATATGGTAAATATTGATAAGATACAACCCACAAAAACAAAATCTCTTTGGGATCCTCAACACTTCAAGAGTGTAAGTGGATTGTGAGGCCAGAATGTTTGATCCTGAGACGCAAGGGCTTAGGTCATTGCCTTTCTTATGACAGTCAACAGGCTCATTCATTCTCTCTCTCACCAGAGGTGTGGCTCTATTCCCTGGTCAATTTTCATAAATATTTCATCCATACTTGACTTTACCTTACTTGACCTCTCAATAACATTCAGCCCAGTTGATGGATCCTTCCTGCCTGAAACATGCTCTTACTGGCTCCTTTAATACCATACGGTGCTGGGCTTTGCCCTAAATCTCCAGCTACTCACTGCTCAGGCCCCGTTGGTGATCTCCCCCTCTGGATGGCCTTCGGACATTGCGGTCCTTGTGACTCTGACCTAGGCCATGCTCTTACACTGATCACCAGTGTTTACCCCTCCACTGGTATACATATCGGGACCACTCAGATCTCAGCCATCCACATAGCCCTTGATCCACCGACCTCATTCTGACCCATGGCAATAAATGGCACCCCTCCATCTAGGACACCTTGTTGCTATCCCTTAATGATCCTTGCTTCATCCCCCACATCTAGTCCTTCAGCAAGTCTTCTTGGTTCCAGTGCCAGAATATGTACGTTGTAATCTCATTCATCCGCTCTCTCCAGCCTCACCAACTAGTACTTCCCTGCCTTAGGAGGAAACATGGGCCGAGCCTTTATTGTGGTTTCTGAAGTAAAGGCAAGCCAGGATCACTAGACTAGCACTGGATCCTTGGAATAATTTCAGAAAGTCCTTTACTATCTAGGAATCTGCTCACCCTGGGAGAGGGACAGTTGGCTCCCGCATTAGCAAGGCCCGCAAGATGTCAAAGCATCAGGAAATTAAGAAAATACAAAACATGAGAAATGCATATCTATCCATGCATCTGTTGACAAGCACTTAGGTTGTTTCTACCTCTTAGCTACTATCAATAATGCTGATGTGAACACTGGCGTACAAGTGTCTAAATCCCTCTTGTCCATTCTTTTGAGTATGTATCTGGGAGTGGAATTGCTGGGTCGTGTGGTAATTCTAAGTTTAACTCTGAGGAATCACTGAACTGCTTTCCACCATGGCTGCAGCATTTACATTCCCATCAACAACGTAAGAGGGTTACAGTTTCCCACATCCTCACCATTTGTTATTTTCTGGTTTGGGGGTTTGTTTTTGTTACAGTTACTGCCATCCTGGTAGTGTGAAATGGTATCTTGTTATGGTTTTAACATGCATTTCCCTAATAACTAATGATATTGAGAATCTTTTCATGTGCTTATTGGCCATTTGTACGTCATCTTTGGAGAAATGTCTGTTCAAGTCATTTGCCTATTTTTTTAATTAGGCTGCTTGGCTTTTTGTTGAGTTATGGGAGTTCTTTATATACTCCAAATATTAAACTCTTATCAGTTATATGACTTACAAATACTTTCCCTCATTCTGTGGGTTTTCTTTTTACTCTCTTGATGGTGTCTTTTGATGTGCAGAAGTCTACAATTGTAATGAAATACATTCTTTTTAAAATTCCTTTTCTATATATCAAACTAAAAAGGCATCAGTAGAACAAAAGGCATCCTACAGTATGGGAGAATATATTCATAAATGACATACCCAATAAGTGGTTGACATCCAAAATATATAAAGAGCTCATGCACCTCAACAAACAATAAGCAAATAATCCAATTAAAAAATGGGCACAGGATCTGAACAGACACTTCTCCAAAGAAGAAATTCAGATGGCCAACAGGCACATGAAAAGATGCTCCACATCGCTAATCATCAGAGAAATGCAAATTAAAACCACAATGACATATCTCACACCAGTTAGGATGTGGAATTGCTGGGTCATGTGGTAATTCTAAGTTTAACTCTGTAGTCCACCTGTTGTTTCTGCAAAAAAATATCAAGAATACACGTGTTAAGAGTTTATCTGCACCTTTTGAGGGGGAACAAAGGGTCCTGTGTTAATTTATATTTACTGAGTTTGCTTTACCTTGTTAAGGCAACCTGCCCCTTTCCCAAAAGATAAAACTACAACAAATGTTGGTGAAAGGGGAACCTCCTACACTGCTGCTGGGAATGTGAATTAGTTCAACCATTGTGGAAAGCAGTATGGAGGTTCCTCAAAAAACTGAAAAGAGAAATACCATTTGACCCAGGACTTCCACTCCTAGGAATTTACCCTAAGAATGCAGGAGCCCAGTTTCAAAAAGACAGATGCACCCCTATGTTTATCGCAGCACTATTTACAATAGCCAAGAAATGGAAGCAACCTAAATGTCCATCGGTAGATGAATGGATAAAGAAGATGTGGTACATATACACAATGGAATATTATTCAGTCATAAGAAGAAAACAAATCCTACCATTTGCAACAACATG